CACTTTATATTCTTATATATTCTTAAAATTATAAGAATAATTATAAGAATTATAGAAATAATAATAAGTAGAAGAAATATTTTTGAGGAAAATGTACAATGGTAAATTGCGTTGAGCAATGAATAAAAAATTCTTATTCTTTGTGTTTGTAATACACAAAAATTGGCATTATACGATTTTGTTTAATTATAATAAAGTTTTTTTTAGTTTATTTCCTTCCTAACATCCATATTTCTTACATTCAATCAAGAAACATAGAGTCCGGCCATTTGCCAGAAATAGGTATATATTAAGTGTTGGTATGTTTAGTGTTAAGGAGACGAACTTTGCTAGAGAAATTAATTTAAACTGATACGTAATTTCTATTTAAGCTCTGCTGTAGCTACTGGATCATTTTCATTGCATCCATTGACAGAACCGCGAAGATTTGTAACCGTCAAAGTCGAGAACAAACAACTGTTTTTTGCATCACACTACTCTCTAAGCTGCTTTCTTTTTTTTTAAAAAAAAATGTAGTACACTCCTCTATAAGCTTCGAAAAAAAGAAGCGACTACAGTAGTTTCACTACGTAAAGTGCGATACTTTCTACCACTGCACTGCGGGCCTGAAGACTATGATCTTTGGCCAAAAGTCAGAAATTAATTTTTCAATTAAAATATGTGTAGGCAGTTATGATATATCCCAAATTAAGTATTCATAATCATTCCAAACATTGTAATTTACTTTTTTGATCAGCGAGAGTACAATGTAGAGAAAAATATGTTAAAAAAATTGTTTTAAATGTAACTTTTAAATTTTTATTTCAGAAATATATATCGGAATTTCACCTTACTGTTACATTTTTATCAGAGTAATTAGCGTTAAATTATAGTACAATTTTTCAATTTGTTGGATTAGTTAACACTCCTGACAATTTTACAGTTTATATCTTATCATTTGACATTTTACAATGTTTGAATGACTTTCGAAAATTAGTTCCAAAAAGTTCCACGAGGAAATTAGCTAAACTATTTTTGTTGTTTTTTTTTATGTTTCTTCTTTCGAAAAAACTTGCCCTATTTTGCCTTTATTGCTAAGGTGGACTAAATATACCGAAAAACCAAAATTATGTTTTTTTTATGTTTTCGCGTTACTTCGTAATCTTACTTCGGAAATATAATTTGCTTTTCATTTTTAATATAAAATTACGAAAATTATTGTATTTTCATTGCTATATTTAATTATTTAAACTTACTATATAAATTTCTTATTTTTGCTCGCCATATTTCAGCCGCATATTTTGGGTATTTTTAGTGTATTTCAAAATTTCACCTATGACTTCAATTTACCTGCACATAAAAACCCCTAAATAAAAAACCCCAAATTTTGAAACAAATTTTATCGAAATACTAATTTTGGCCACGAAACCTTGGATGCTGGCCCACTGTGCACTTGAAATGCACTATTGTTATATTTCATTTTTTAAAATATTTCAATTTAAGATGTATATAATTTTAACTAACTAATTATAAATTATAGTTCTTGAAAATATTTAAGTTCTTAAAAATCTCTAAATCTTATTAACTCACAGTCACAGGGGGGATTTAAAATTGCATCCTGGGGCAGACCCACAAAGATTTGTATACATCAAATTCAAAAAATTAGTTGCTTCAGAACAATGTTCATAAAGTAAACTAACGTAAAAAGTAGTTGACCGGAATCGCTACAAACTACTGTTTTTCGTATGTCACTACTCACTGCACTATTTTTTTAAAAGAAAGGTAGCACACTACACTACAAACTACTCAAAAAAGTAGCGACTACAGTGATTTCACTACATGTACTGCGCTACTTATGTCCTCCGGTTAAATGTACCAATAACTTTTGTGATAATATGGTGTGATTACTACGTTTGATTAATTAGGTTAAGTCGTAAGTAATTTAAAATATCTTTTGTACCTAGGCAATAAGGTTTCAAGGATTTTTTTTTAGTCTGTAAAGATCCAAAATTTGCAGCCGAAATACAGACAAAACCTACTTTATCGAATTGAAAAAAAAATATTAGAAAAATCTATTTTCTCTTTTAAAATGTTTATTTGAAAGGTAGATATTTTTTAAATGCAAGTTAAAAGCAGTTGTTGTTTCTAATGTCACTTGCCACACGGACAAGCCTGCTTGGTGAAAACGAGCAAATTGAAGGCAGAGTGTCAGTTTCTTGTTTTTCAGTGGCGCTATCCATGGTCAAGAATTCAACTTCTGCCACACCCGTTTATAGGGTAGACCCATTCATACATTCATCTACAGATCGTAATTTTGAGAGAGCATTCAGAGAACTATCGATCTCCAATCCAGTACCCCCAGAAGTATCGATTTGTTATGGAAACATGGAGAACTTTTGCGACTCAACAGATTTAACGTGCATCAGTCACTTTACTACACGGGGAGTCTTTGGTCGGCGGGGTTCGAACCCACGAACTCTCGGACATGGGCCCAGTGCCCTACCGACCAGGCTATCCTGGCCCTTAAAAACAGTTTTTTTTAAGCGATGGATGCTTATAATGATTAATTACAGCATGGATTGTTATTTTGGTTGTGTAATTTATGTATATGAATGAAATGCAATTATTTATGCAATATTTTGAATGTTGTAGTGTTTTAAGTACTGTGTCTCAAAAGTGACACCATGCCAAAAAAAATATACTCTGTGAAAAACGGACCACAGTGAATAACTTTTGATCTAATGATCGGATGTTCACGATCTTCTATTCAATCTTTTTGGATGGAAGAGATGACCTCAAATATGCTAGGTAATCAATTAGTGTTAACAATATTTTAAGTTACGATATTAGACAGAAAAGCGCGTACTTTCTCAAGATCAATAATTTTCCCTCAATAAAACCCCTTCTTTTTTCAACGGATTCAGATTTCTGGCAGTTGAAAAAAAATTAATACGAAAATATGGGCCGTAGTCTGGGAAATATGGCTCCCGTAGTTTGATTAGGAAAGCAGTCCAAAGTTTGGACTCCCAAACGTTAATTTTACTTTTTGCGTATTTCGCTATATCTCGAGAACTTTTTAAGTGCTCACACACAATTACTAAATTTGTTTATCTAAAGAAAATTGAATGCAAAAAATCACTTTTAGTAAATATTTATTAGTTTTTATTATTATACAGTCGAAAAAATTTGGATTGTACGATATGTAATTTTTTACATCATCCTGAGAAATCGAATTTTAAATGTTCGACTTCTTTAAAATTCCTTGAGAATGTTACCTGTATTTTTGTTTTCATAAAAATTTATTTGCGGTAACCATCATATTTCCGCATACAAATCTCTCCTTTGAACTACAGATTTTAAGAAGCAAGTATTATTTTTAAAATGTCATAATGATCATCATATATGTACATTGAATAACGCAATATTAATTTTATTATTTATCAAACAAAATTTAGTTAAAATGTATCTCTTTCTCCCCGAAGTTAGGCTAAAGAAATATATCTGTAGTTCTTTAAATAACCTAATTAAATTTCATGTAAGCAATATTTCTAAATTTTAAGTATATAGAATGACTTTTACAGTAAAATATGCATTATTTTTTTTAAGTATTATTCTTGAATATAAATATATTTAGCAAGTTATTTTCTATTTGGCGTCACAATGGCATCTTTTTCATTGTAATTATTCTTTTAAAAAATGCTTCTTTTTAGTTATAAATACATTTGCATAGTTTCTAAGACTACATGGTAAAAGTAGCCACAAGCTAGAAAAGAAGTTTTACACGTTTTTGACCGTTAACAAACATTTAAACAAAATGTGTGACAATCTTTTTAGGGTATATATATATATATATTATCAGATCTTCTCAAAGAGACTAATATTTCGTTTTAATTAAGCTTTAAATTTGCTTTAAGTTCAATGTCTCCTCAAAAGATAATTATTTTGACTTTGAAGATATTTCATACCAATAAGTCTAGTTCCTAAAGGCATTTTACTATCGCTTTATAATTATGAATTGTATTTTAGAATAGATAGGTATTTCAATTTTCAATATTTCTACTTAAATACGCGATTACCTAAACTAACCTTAACTAAAAAATCATTCTTCTATTTTTTTTACTATTACCTTAGTTAAAAAAATCATTCTTCTATTTTTTTCTTTTCTTTTTGCTTTTTTTCAATAAAATAAAACTATGAAAGTTTCTGCATTTTTAGAATCGTTTGAGTTAAGTTTCTACGCCAAATCATGCAAAATTTATGAGGATTTAAAAAGTCATTTATTTTGGTTATTAAATTGATAATTGTGTCTTTTTTCTCTTTTTCTCAAAACTAATTTTTCAGTTCGGTTCATCGCTTTCATTTTAAATGCAATATATCAAATTATTTTTGGTCTAATTACTTAAAATTTAGCAGGAATATTTTCCTAACAAATTTATAAGAAGTGGACACTAGACATGCTAGTTGATTAAACTATTGTTTTATATTTTACAACAAAAATGAAAATGATAAATTGCCATTTTCGATCTTTTTTGCCAAATAAATTTCGATACTTGCTGTAAAATATCTATGCTAAATGTACAGTTTATTTCAAGTTAATTTTTTATGAGTTTTATAAAGCAAGAATAATAATTAAAAAAATTCACAAAGCAACGTGACTTTGAAAAGAGGTTGATTTTTGATCTTTTTTTAACCTGTTATACCCCCATATTTTTATCCAAAAAAATCATATTTTTTGAATTTATACTATGTTTTAGTGCATAATACTCACTCAAAAATTTCTAAATTAAAAAATTTTAATGTTTTGCCTCCGACAGTATTCAGGTTCCTACCTCTCTAATTTTGTAATTGATTATATTTTAAAATATTTCTATAAATAACTGGCGTTGAAAAGTGGACCCAATTCTAAGTTTGCGATTATGAATGTTCAATTCTGAAGCTTTGTGATTTAGAACTCAACTCGGAAGACAAGGGAACTCCTGGGTCAAGCATTGAACAATCTAGCCTTCGCGAAGGACTGATCCGAAATTGCGTTACAAGAAGAGGAATCCATGAAAATCTCTCATGGTTAACTCGATGGAAAGGTGACTTTAACCCATGACCCGTCTATCACTGAGAATATTTTTCGTCTGCACCATGCCCGCTATGACAGGGAGCAGAATTCGTATCAACCAGCCACCGATGTGATTCGAACCTGAGTGCCTCCCAATGTGACCCAGGTTCGAATCCAAGCCGAATTTAAAGTAAGAATCACCTAACTAAAAATATTATGCGTTTAATATTTTTAGTTAGGTGATTCAATTTGTTATTTTTGTCTTTTCGTTAAAAGTTTAAGAACTACCTTTTACTTCGTTTTAAATCAGCAAAAAAACTGATTTGAATAAAGTTGTAAAATACGCAAAAACAATGATTTTTAGAAATGAACATATAAAAACAACTATATGGTTTTAAATTAAGTTTCTGAAAATGCTGATTGCAGAATTTTGTTGATACAGTTTTATCAAAAAACATTTTTGTAACCCTAAAATAACTCTTTCTCTCACATTCTGATTAAGCCACAACCTTGTTTTTACTATGTTTTCCAAATCAAAATTTTCAATGGTTTTCCATTGATGGACCAACATAATCTTAACGGTAACTATCAATAATTCCATCATGAACCATTATATTTTTGATGGTAACCAACATAAGTAACCATCACCCAAATGTAGGAATTCGAACTGATTTATGATGCTCCAGCATAAGAATAGCAGCTTGTTTTGATGGGTTTTTTAATGTTAAACCATCAGAAATTTTAATCAAAGTTTCTTAGAAATCAAATATAGGAACGATCATGAACCATCCTCACTCCAATGTAGGAATTCGGACTGATTTATGATGGTTCAGCATTAAAAAAAATTTAATTGTTTTGATGGTATATTTCTGAGTACCAACGAGAAATCCCATCAAACCATCAGAGAAATGTATATTTGGAACCATCATGGACTATCACTGATCATCATAGATTGTTGGTCAATGAGGATCAAACTTTTCTTTCTCATAATAGTATTAAAGTAGCATTTTTCATCATGGAACGATGGAAGTTTGTTGGCATATCAAAAATGAACGCATAATGGAAAATGTTTGATGATGGTGACCATTATGAATCGCTGTGAAACCAATATAAACCATCAAAATGTTTTGATGAGACCATGAAGAATTTTGACTTGGGTTAATACGGTACTATCATGTAACTATCAATCATTATGAAAACTGAATCATAATAATTAAATGCGTATTTAGTTTCCCCTCTGTTGTTTATATCTCCCTTACTGTTGAATACAGTTGTAAGATTAGTTGTGTTGGAAACATCGGGTATGACTGTAATCATTTCAATTGTAGGGCAAGGGACAGTGTAATTATAAGTTCCCTTTTCAAATCAAGCAGAAAAGCGATATTTAAGATCATCTTCTATTATAAAACAAAACACGATTTAAAAACAGGCTATAAAATGCTTCAGCGTATTGTGCTGATTTCGTGTGAAAATTCAGGACACTTGTAAAAAAGGCATGAAAAGGCAGTTTGATACCAAAAACTTTATCTTTGGAAAAAATATGACTTATTACTACATTGCCACGAGTTTTAATTTAAAGCTATTCACAATAATATCTAATTATTTTCATATAAATTTCTGGATTACTGCTTTTCAACCATTATACTGAATAATTAATGATATTGGTGTAAACTTGACCACTTCTTTCGTTCTTTCCAGGTACATTTTACAGTTCTCTTAGGAGTGAGTTGGGCTCTTCTCTCAGCAGTGATCCGAGCACAGAATTGGGACATGTTAGGTTTAGGAAACTTAGGAGGAGGAGGAGGCAACGCAGGAGCTAAAGCTGGCGTTGGAGCTAATATGGGTTTAGGCTTCAATGCCGGAGCTGGAGTCAATGGTCAAGCAGGAGCAGGTAACGGAATGGCTGGACTTGGTGGTAATGGTAATGTAGGTGGCAACGTGGGTTTTGGAATGAATGCTGGTGCCGGAGTCAATGGTCAAGGAGGAGCAAGAGGAGGTAATGGAATGGCTGGACTAGGTGGAAATGGAAATGTGGGCGGCAACGTGGGTTTTGGAATGAATGCTGGTGCTGGAGTCAATGGTCAAGGAGGAGCAGGAGGAGGGAATGGAATGGCTGGACTTGGTGGTAATGGTAATGTAGGGGGCAACGTAGGGTTTGGAATGAATGCTGGTGCCGGAGTTAATGGTCAAGCAGGAGCAGGAGGTAATGGAATGGCTGGACTTGGTGGTAATGGTAATGTAGGTGGCAACGTGGGTTTTGGAATGAATGCTGGTGCCGGAGTCAATGGTCAAGCAGGAGCAGGAGGAGGTAATGGAATGGCTGGACTAGGTGGAAACGGAAATGTAGGTGCAAACTTTGGTATCGGAATGAATGCTGGAGCAGGTGTGGATGGCAATGTTGGAGGAAGTGCATCAGGCAATGCAAACGATATGAGTTCTAATGACCCACAAACGCAGGAAAAGAAGCCCGAAGATGCTGAAAGTGACGACGCCCCAGAACCACCTACTCAGAATACGGATATCGAAAACGAGACAAAAGACGAAACAGAAACCATAAATCCTTAAATATGAAGCATTTCTCCTTTACCATATTATTATTTATTATCACATAGTAACTAAAAAATGCAACACACCTATTATGGTTGTGGTTTATTATTCGTTTTATTATTCATTCTTCATATTTTACTTGTACATATTTTTGTAGCTCAATTGTTTTATTTCATTTAAATTAGTTTTATGTTTTGTTATTTTGGTTGTACGAAAAGGTTCTCAATAAATATATCAACGTTTATTAATTCAGTCATCTACTTTATTCAACTACTATTTTTCCTCTGTTCTGCGACAATCAACTACTGGCGCAAATGGTAAAATTGAGTTTCACTATTTTAAATTGGATATACAACTCATCAATTTTTATAAAAGTAACGCATTAAACGAAATAAAAACTACAATATAACTCCAACTCTTGGTTTTGTGGGAGAAAGTTTCTAATTTTTCAATACCGTCCTCGTAAGAAAGATTGAAGTATCTATACTTCTTCCTTACTGACTTTCTTGCTCAGAAAAGCAGCATAGTCTTGTATACATTTCATGTTTTATGCCAAAAAGAGATAAATTCATTGTCCTTTTTCAATGCAACGTCCGTTTTTAGAGTAACTAGATATCGATGTCATTCTTACTTATGCCATAATAGTAACCAAGGATTTGAAGCATTAATGAAAGAAAAACCGAATGAGGTAGAAATGTATGGCTGCGTGGGCTTAAGAAACTGGAACTGTTATCCTCGTTCAAATCAAAAACATTCAGCCGTGTCCATTTTCCTAAACAAACATTTTGAACATTATTGTGTATTTTCGTAAACAAGCAATTTGAGCTATTTTCTGACATGACCTAACATTTTTTTTTCTTTTTCCAAATTACATCAAAACTTAAAAACAATCTCCTTGTAAAAACTTTAGAAAAGAATTTAGATTGAGTTTATCTTTATAGAATTCCGTCTACCTACGATTGGCATTTATTTATTTATATTTCTCTTATCAGCTTTTATTTATCATTTATCAGTTTTTATTAGTTTAACATATCATTGAAATATTTTCCTCTTAATTTCGAAAAAGTATTAAAATAGTACCCTTTTACGAAGCTATAAAAAATATGAAATATTATTCTTCATACGTAATAAATCATTATTCCATTAATTAATTAAACTTTAATTTCGTAATAATTATTATTCTATCATGAAGCTTTAAAATGTGTTAAATATAATTTTAAATTTATAAATTATGACACTAAAAATGCTCAAACTAAGATTGTCACAACGAAATGAATCAACTTCAGCCTAATACAACTAAAAATTAATTAACACTATCTCACAACTTCTTTTTACTTAGTATTATGTCTGTTTTATAAATTTTATATATAACTATTCATAGGATGTTTTTATTCTGTTGTTAATGATTCACTTTAGCTATACTAATGAGCTATTTGCGACGATCTGAGACACTATAGATGTAATAAATAGGAATTTATTGGAATTTTTTTTGTATCAATACTTTTTAAAGAAGGGTTATTTTTCAATAGATGGCACCACTATGATAAAATTTAAATGCAATCAAAATTATGACATTTCATGAGAAATTTTTATTTATTCTTTTAAAATGGGATTTTTGGGGTAGATTGTGGATATAATTTGTAGTAACATTTAAGGAGGTTTGGATTATCACTTTTATGGCGTATTAGTGGGGTTGTAGCTGGGTTTTTTTCTTATGGATCTTTTTTTTTTGTTCTGACGTCCACTGGACGTCCACTGGATGCGGGATGACTTTTGAGCGAGTAAACAGGTCAGTATGGATTATTCCGCCTTGCTGAGAAAGGTATAAGAGGCGTGAAGAGTGGCTGAAAAAGTAGTAAGGACCATTTTGACCATTTTGGAGTCGTACGTATTTCATTCTCTCGCAATTATCAACGTAGCTTTGTTTACAAAGTGAAAGTGAAGATAAAGTGGGCGTTTTCGCCGAAAGATTTATGAAATAGTGTTTGTGTTAATCTTCGATATCAACATGTGAATTAAAAAAGGAAACAGCATTTATTATTATTTCATCGCAATTATCAACGTAGTATTGTTTACAAAGTGAAAGTGAAGATAAAGTGGGCGTTTCGCCGAAGGATATATTAAACAGTGTTTGTGTTTATTGTGACAACAACATGTGAATAGAAGCAACAATTATCGTTATTTCATAGTGCAAGTGCAACTCTTATAATTTCACCTTTGATTTCATATGATTTATTGCAACAGATAGTGCAAAAGTTATTTTTATTTTTCACGCATCGCAGAGTTTGTGATAGCTAAAGCAGCCCAAAATATTTTGTGCATTCATTCACTTCATAATAGCATCAACTCATCTGGAATAACATCAACTACATCAGGTAGATGAAAAAAACTTTATTTTATTTCATACTACTCTTATTTTTTCCTGCAAAACAGATAATTCAAAGTGTGCAAGAATGGCGGACTGCAACAGTGAACAGCCCCCTTGGGTCACCAACCTGCTCAATACCTTCCAGGGAACAAATAACAATTTGAATCAACTACTATTAGAAATCCAAGAGCTAAAAGAAACAGTGGCTAACCTACAAAAAGAGAATGAAACTCTTCGAAATGCAAACAAACACCTGCAAAAAATGTCTAAACAGTATACGGAAGCACCTATCCTGATACCGGAAGCTGCAACAACTGAAACATCACCAAAAAAGCAGAATAAGAAAAAGACAGGTGCAAAAAACAAAAATGAACAGAAGCAACTCAACATCAACAAACCGATAGAAAACCAAAACGCAGTACAGAAAAGAATTAGATCCCATAGCTCCGACGATGAAGAACAAACAACAACGAAGAAACAAACAACACTGAAAAATTCCGCTAAACCACAAGAAGGCAACACTTCACCGAAACCATCCACAAGTTACCTCCCACCGGCAAACGTCAGTTATGAAGCAAGAAACAACGCCTGCGGACCTGTGAGAAACGGCCGCGAAGATGATAGTTACGTCACAGACACGGA